AATCCTGTTTGTTTGCTTCATCTCAATCTTCTTCTCTTCTTGATCATTTACACCAACTGAATTTCCAACAGAACTCAGTCAATCAAACCTCCAAAACAACCATTTTCCTTATCAATTGCAGACAGTAGTACTTCAACCACTTTGACAATTCAAACGCTCCAGTCATACGTTGGTTGGTTAGTCGGATCAACTGTCGAATGGATTGAATTGTTGTTCAGGTGACCATACTGGTGTAGCACTTCCATAAACAAACTTAACTTCATCAATGAATTGGTTATCAACATTTTCATATGGTGAACAATCACCGATCTGTTTATTGGAACAGATCACAACAACCAGTGGAAATGGAGAATAGGCCACTAGACCCTATAAGTATACCACTGGTCAAAAATAAATGTAATGACATTCGAATGAATGGATCGGTACTGAATGAGAATGATGGCAATAATCACCATACTAAATGTTGTGTGTTTTACGTTCTCTGACTCCATCGACTTCCCTTCCACTCTTTCATGTATTGTCTCGTACTACTTATTATGATTATTCAGTAGACAGTATATTCCTAACAAATTGCAAGACTTGTTTACTTTACTGGGGTTCATTCCTTACGTTGATCATATGATCTAATTGGTTAATAAGTATACTTCTAAATTGTGCTGAATGCTACGTTGATCTGTGTTCAGAAGTGCATCAAGTCACAGGTTCCGTGTAAATGTATACCTGGATAGAAAATAACTGAACAGCATTATTAATTCGTCTGAACGTTGAATGAAATCTCTTTCAATAGATTAGAGTATCACACACCGACCAAAGGAGTCAGTGAGGTGAATTTCAAATTGAACGTGTGTTTTGCAATAATTAGAGTGTTCAGAGAGACAAATGAGACTACAAACTGATCAGTGAAATGTTGGACATGATAATTGAATGACCAGCATAGAATACTCTTAAAACAAGAATTGATCATGTATATTTGACAGATGTGAGTTCATCAGATACTGAGTCCAAATGAATTAGTGGATAATGCGTTGGGCGTTTGAAACCAGAATTACTGGCTTCTATGTTTCAAACATGACCAATATGCTAAGACGTGTGACATAACACTTTATTGGTTCAACCTCTTCATGATCCATATATCCAAGAAAACTCCCATTAACTACAGTAACCAGATATTGATTTAACCGAAAGTCAATAAACACTTTACTTTCACACTGCCAGAGAATTTTAGGTAACAATGTCATATTTTGATGTAAAATGGTTCTGAGAATTCAGAACAACATAGTCAGTTGTATGTAGTCAGAATCACTAAAATCACCTACATTGTATATTAAGGAAGATGAGACATTACTGATCAGTGTGTTATGGGGAACATAATGTGATGATATGATAGGCGTCTAATAGCTCTTATATGCACTGCTATTGCCGAGGATGTGGAGAGTTTGCTCTCTCTCTCTCTCTCTCTCTCTCAAAATGCTCTCAAATGACCACATATATATAACAAATGTTAGAGTAGTCCTACTCACCACCTTCGCTCAACTGTGTAGTTTAGGAAATTAAGAGGATGGAAGGCGCAATTCTAGTGCATAAATCGAGTTGGTGGGATCTGAACATTTACCTATGGGGATTGGAAATTCCTCGTTCCAAAGCAATGGTGCACATGAACTACAGGATCCAGAGAGATCGAAAAGCATATGATTATTTTGTTGGCTACTGACTAACATGTGAGCGCACTTCCTAACGTTTCTTCCCTGTCTTATGGACCAGACGTCTTGGTCAACTCCTCGAAAGATTACACGCTTTTGTGACACTAGTGGTTCGAATGCAATACCTTACATTTTGACACTGGATGATAGGGATCTAACGTTTGTAGTTAATATAATACACTTTGAAGTTGATAATCACTGACCTAAAATATTCCTGGATATACATTTCATCAACGAAGCTTCAGTCATTTAACTGCTTTGGAATAATCAACTGTTGATGCAGAACAAATGTATTCTAAAGCAATTCCATACTATATGTAATTGTCTTTATGGTTCAGTTTGCACCAACTCAATAAATATATCATAGTGAAAAATCCTTATAAAGTACACGAATTGGTCTGATTAAATAATGCAATTTATAACCTGTATTCGAGATTTCACTTGAAAACGATACATGAATAAGAATTCATCACCAACTGGGAATACGCTTGAACCGTTTTATGTTGGTTCGGTATGCACAAATTCCTTTAATGAGAATGTAGCAATAGCGTCACCAGTATCACTATGTTCAAATGTTATTTCACTCTGGTTATACATTGCTTTGTTGCTATGTGATGACAAATTTGCCGAATTTCACGACCTATATAACTGACCACAAGAGAATATCAGAACACTATTCGTCTAGGTTGAGAAAAGGATAGATGAGAGTGATGAAGAGTTCTATTCTCGCTCACTCGATGACTACAGGTCATCAAGTAGAATGTATTAAATATTTTAAGGTTATCCACCATATTCCACCAAATTTGCCGCATGGTTTATGAGTTGGTCAAGCTATTGGAATTCATGTTTGCAAACCGAACCTTCGTATCCAAAAGAAATTCGCACAAGCAATTTTACTACCTTGACCATTGGTATAGGAATGAGTTTGTAGCAGAACTTTGATGAAACACTCTACTTCAAAAATATTTAAACCATTTTCGAATTTCTTCCTGTGAGGAGAGTACACTGGTGAACTCGAGGAAGAACTAACAAGCTCAGAGAGAGCCGAACATATTACACACAATCATCGTTTTGAAGAATATTCAACAATCCTTATATGGAGCTTCCCTATTGGATTAATGCTAATAACCACGGTATGAGGATTGAAGGACGATAATGATGACTTCGCTTTTACCATAATTGACACTGATTGCAATAGCATTCCGTTCACTTGTCTTCGGTCTTTTCATTTGCGACTTGCAGATGTTCTAGCGTTCGATTACTCAAGTCATACACTGTATATTAAGAATCTAAGCTGTAGAGATAACACGTCCACTTTTGCACTTTACGCAATCACAATATCCATCCCTTGATTCTTACATAACTACCACAATACTGACATTTCATCAAATGATTTTATTAGTTCCTTATTATTTGTTTTAATATATATTATGCAACATAGCAACTGTTTATCTTTCGAATAATTCCTTTCATTATTAAAATCCTCCTCTTAGTTACAATTGCTGAATGTTGCTTCATAATCATTATGTAACAGAACTACTCAATGAATAATATTTCACTATCTTAAATCAAACATGTATATACACATATACTATCAGAAGGTGTGTGTGTGTGTGTGTGTGTGGAGATTTTGTTAATTTTGTAGTTGAATTCATGAGTCAATTGAAGACTGATATGTACTAGGTTTGAATCTCGCTAGGCGGGTTTAAGGATTCACTCTGCTGAGGTGTCCCTTACTAAGACGAATCTGCCATCCAGTACTTCCAGGATTTCTATGATGATCTAGCTTCAATCGACTCATGAATTCAATTCGATTTTCTCAATCTTCCATTGTCAGGCATTTCACTTCTGATTGCGTTTCACATAGTACTTAGGTCGATAGACATAAGTAGCACACACCAATGTTACATCGTTGTAAATGTTTCACTCGACCATTAATGATTGTTACAACACTGTGAAATCTAATCTCATGGAATGGTAACTATTCATCCTTGATTACTTTATTGTCGTTCACTAAACCGTTTCAGTGTATAGTAACAAGTAGCATCAAGTTGAAAGAGATTTCCATCAAATTTGTTAACAATACTGTTATACCTTGAGGCCTATGTGCCTTCTTAATATATAACGTAACGATACCACCAATTCGAGTGAAGTGACTTCTCGATCGGACCAGTGACGCGTGAAACCCGTGCGACCAGTCCACAGTCGTGATGAGTTCTCCTTTCTGCCTAGACTTGGTCGTTGTGTCCAGAACACCAATCTCAGTCTCTGCCATATGAATCATTTATTTCAAGCATACTGGGTTTATATACCAACCACACAGACAGACAGACAGACAGACAGACAAACAGACAGACAGACAGACAGACAGACAGACAAACAGAGTACATCGTACCACCTCTCTTCTGTGTGTTTGGATGTGCGTAGTGTGTGTGTGTGTGTTTGTGTATGTAGGTGGATGTCAGTCACATAAACACACGCACAATTACAAGGTGACATTCTTCAGTTTTCTAAATACTAACATTCATATTACACTCACTCCACAATAGAGAATGCCACATTATGTTGATATTGATTAATTAGGTGGAATACGGTGATGGATGACGTGATAGAACGTATAATCATTGCTATTTCTACATTGAACTGAGGTCAACTGATAGATAATACAAATCACACCATCACATAATCTACTCTATTGTTGTTTATTGAGTAGTAGTAGTAGTAGTAGTAGTAGTAGTAGTTTTCATGCGAAAACGTGTAGTTGATTAGTAGGATTCAAATAGATGTAACGATTCTGTGTAATATTCTACCACATAATGCTCACTGAATTGTCAAATTGCACCACTCAATCTACACAGTGTTAAGAGAACATAAGAAGCACCAGTTATATTGTTTAGGTGAAACAAACACTGTACTCATCGACAATGATATTGGTTCCGACGAACACTTCTACACAATGCTTTCTAACCTGAGTTCATTGACACTAATCTAAATCATTTCTCCATCTACTTACATTTACACAAATAGAACTCACCACAAATCCCCATATACGAATGACAAAAGCAAAGAATATTGTAATAGAAACTCTTCTCGATAACTTCGTCATCACACACACACACACACACACTGTACAGTGACAAGTTCAAAGTGATTGTGTTACAAAGGTCGAAATACACCATCCTCATCGATTACACAATGTTGTGTTGAAAATGGATAAGCTTGCGAGGGAGGTGATCCACAAAAGATTGAAGTGATTCAGTGTAAAGTGTGAGGTGTCCTGTTAGAATCAATATCAATAAAATGATCACAATCAATCGGAAGATTCGAATAAAATGCGTCATCGGTGTGATCAATTTGATTGATGCGGTGAACAACATTCATAATAATAATAATAATAATAATAATAATAATAATAATAATAATAATAATAATAATAACAATAATAATAATGCAAATACCAATGGTATGGATAGTAATCATAGTGATGATTGTGAAGAGAGCGTGTTGTGAAAATCACATCCAGTAATAGATGTGATGTCAAGGTAACTCTGTTGCGAATGGAATATGGATTGGGATAGTTGAACATGTAAACTGAGACCAGGTGGTGGAGATCATTACACAAATCGAATGCGCTGACACATTGCTGAAAATCAACGATTTATGAATAGTGTAGTTGTGTTGTGTACCGAAGTAGACAAAACAACATAACATTGTTGATCTGAATAATTAAGTAATACGAATCATTTTATTAATGGATATGAATTGCTCAGACGTTCACTGTAGAATTTTGCATAGTAATTCAGTAATGAAGATGTTGACGAATTGAGAGTTTGTAGTTCTGTGAATGTCAGTGTTTGGTATTTCCTCAAATGGAATACATTAGCTGCTCAAGTGCTGGAATTCACCTGTAACATGAAACATTTCATGCGTGTTGAGGTGAACCAGTGTGCATTGTTGTGTAGTTCACCGGGAAACTGTGTGACAAGAATTATCTTCAAAAATGAACGGCAAGTTAATACAACTTCATCACCTGACAACACATCCACGTGCACAATCCTCACAAATGTAGAAATTCCTCCGGTAGTGTGTCGCTTCAATGCTTCATATCTGAAAGTCTAGTCAAACTCTTCACCGAATCACTGTATCATACAAATTTCAATTAGATTGAGTGAGATGAGATGATGGTGTTTTGTTCATTTCAACCATTTCAGATACAGTTCTCCATCTGCATGATCGATTCATACTGTTCTATTCGATCATTGTCTGCCTTACCGAATTATTCGAATGTCAACTTATCTGAGAACAACTGGATTTAGAGAAGAAAGAAGGAGTGTTTCTCGAGAGTGATGCATATGAATATGAGAGTAATCAGTCAGATGCTAATACACATATTCAGTCTCATCATTATCATTACTCACAGATCATCCGTATTGATCTCTCCAATCCGGTTAGAATTGGAAGATGTATTGAAGGTGATTGGTCTCACGTGAGCTGGATACACGTTGCAACAGATTCAGTCATGCAAATGTGTGCATGATTCCAGTTGCAAAATTTCGGATTTGATTTCACCACACAAACACATTTGATATAAATCGAATCATTTTAGAATTGAGTGGAGAATCTACGTGGCATCTATGAGGTGTGAGACAATCCAACATCTGCTAACACAACATCTCAATTGTGATCAGCAGGTGATTCATTTAACACATATTTCTCACATTGATTAACAGTGAATGGATTGTGAGTATATATAACGTTTGAATTGGAACCATCAGAACTATAGTAGGACTTGAACCGACTGAGAACTTGTGCTTCATATTGACTAAGGTTTGCACTGGAAACAAATACATTGTGAAGACAAGCAACATCATATCTGTCATCACAATTTCATTCATATGAAATATTGTTGAAGCATGTGTCCCTTCAATGCACCGATCATCATTCAGCGAGATTCAACGAACAGATCTTCATTGAACTGGAGCATTCGTTTCACTTCTACAACTCAACTTGACATGTTCTCACACCAGTCACTGCGTCATTCATTGTGACAGCGATTCGATATTCAATGCAGAAGTATATTCACAATCAGTTGAAATTCCATTGTTCCATTCTATCCCGTCATATCACTACAGTATCGTTCAAAGACAACACATTATTATTATTATTATTAGATTCGGTTGTGATCAACTGGAATCAATGTTCAGTCAGTCAATGAGAGATAATCATGATCAATTTCTGATCTGTTTCACAAACATATCAGTGCAACATGCTCAGAGAATATGCTTAGCTCGTTGCAGATTATCTCACGCTTGATGTCACAAACTGTCAACATAGAGATTCACTGTTACGAGTGATAATAAACAATGTCAGCCAATGAACACAGACCACTCGATCAAATATGTAGTGCACTGTTTCACATTCAATCATGAAACACTGTATCATATCTAAATAAATCCACTCAATGCTAATCTTCAAATCAAGATTGATTTTGCAAGGAGACCTGTTCATCTCATTGCAACGAGAGGAATCAAAACACATCCAACAGTGATCACGATCAACGAAGGTATAGGCGTTGACACTTCACATATGATTAAACAATTATTTCACGTTTACTTACGTTTGCCAACACCAACTTCTTGCTGATCAACATACCACTTGACAGAGATTAATCTCTCTGAAATAATCAAAATAAAATCAGTCAATATCGATCTCATTCAATAAACATACATATGAATACCGAGTGAGTTTTCACATGAGTTATCATCTTGCCTCAAGCTCAGATCCACTCATGAATTCAACTGTTAAAATGTTAGATATAACGCTGACCAAATACAGTAACGGAAGAACGTTAAATTCTATGAAGAATGTGCTGGACAAGAGTTGGAGGACATCACGTATACTCTAACACTCCAAACGTTTCCCTGTTACGAGCTGAAATCTCACAAATTCGCTTATTGTTTACTATGTGATCAGTGTGATTCATTGAATCTTCCAACAAACATGGTGTTGGTGAAATATCTCCCCTATTATAGTTTGAATAAACTAAGTCACTGACTCACTGATTGAATGACTGCCTGACCTATTGGACAGTATTTAATGTTGACTTGGTCAATTATATCATCATTTGATTGGTTGACTATTTCCATTCAATCAATTCGATCTCGATGATTCTGTGGTCAGTTCCCGTGTGATAATCACCGTGTAATTATAACCGATCCATTTATGCAGAATAAATGTGAGAAACAAACAACACAAAATATTACAGAATAATGAGTGAACTCACTGTGATGGAAAACGTGAAATTGAGAATACGAATTGACTGATATCAGACCGTCCACATATCCGAGTTGGTCTTCTCCACACATTCGTATCATACCTGTTTATATTGAATGTAATCACACAGTTTGATTGGGATCCTTCAGTCAATGAATGAATGAGTGGATAAGCGAATGAATGAAAGATTGTGAAATGAGCTGGACATCTAAGTGAATTGAATAGATTATTATTAGTTTACTGTCAGATATCAAACTCTAGACAAGTGGAACATGGAATGACATCAATAGGTGAATTGAATGTCAGAGGAAGCAAAGAAATGATTCAGTGAAGAAATGAAAGCAACTTTGAGTTGCAGAATATAATGTGTTGAATAAGAAGAGGATTCAGTAAACACTCTGATTCAAAGAAAATCATTCTCTTACCGTCATCACGAATCTCGAATATACTGACATCAGTGCCATAATCTTGTAAGTGGAATGTTGTACGAATAACACGAAGAGATGCACACATTTGAGCATGACTGAATCTGTTGCAACGTGTATCCAGCTCACGTGAGACCAATCAGCTTCAACCATACTCCCAATACAAACTGGATACGATTGATTTTGGCGAATTAATTGTGAATAACGATAATGAAGAGATTGAATATGTGTATTAGCATCTGACTGATTACTCTCACATTCATATGCATCACTCTCGAGAAACACTCATTCTCTGTTCTCTAAATCGAGATGTTCACAGACATGTTGACATTCGAATAATTCGGTAAGGCAGACAATGATCGAATAGAACAGTATGAATCGATCATGCAGATGGAGAACTGTATCTGAAATGGTTGAAATGAACAAAACACCATCATCTCATCTCACTCAATCTAATCGAAATTTGTATGATACAGTGATTCGGTGAATGGTTTCACTGGACACTCACCTCATATTCTGGTTGAAACGAACAGTTAAACAATGTGACTAGTGCTTGTCACGTTTATATGCAGTTTGTAATTGTTTGCTTGTTCCTTTCTGATTCGATCATTCAAAATGACCATTGAGAAGGTGCAGTTTGATAAACTCATATGTTAATAGTTAACCAATGATTGTGGTTGATGAATTCGTCGTTATTCAACATTGTTCTAGATATTGAGTGTGTGTTCGTGCGTGTCTGTTGGTTGAGTTTGTAGAAATTGGTTGACATTCATTGTCACGGTTATTGTGAATGCTGACCCATAATAATAAGAATGTTGTGTGTCTGGATGAAAATACTTGAATTCATGTGATTGGTTGATGTGTGTTGAAAGTGTGTGTTGAAAGTGTATGCTCATGTGCAAATGATCGATGATTGTGTTCACAGTAGTAATTTATTGATTGGCTGTCAATGGTGCCTGCTCTCAACTGGCTGATTAGTTAAAGTCAGTGTAGCATCAACTGTTTTGATTGGATGTGAGAATTTTCATTTCCACTGTTGAATTTGATGCTTCAACAGAAATTCTGTCAGACTGCTCTATCCACCTTTTCACACAAGACTGTGGCTTCTGGAAATAGGGAACATCAATTGTATTCGACCACCATCCTACACTTCTCACAGTGAGTGCATATTGAGATTGAGAGTGGAATGAAAATTATTTTCGACCACGTACAAATGTCACCTTGTAATTGTGCGTGTGTTTATGTGACTGACATGCACCTACATACACAAACACACACACACACACTACGAACACCCAAACACACAGAAGAGAGGTGAATGAAATTCTCACTTCACAACAGATTACTACTTTTCTGAAAAGAACATGAAATGAGAACAATGATGTTGTTTATCGATTGATAGACGGTGTTGTTTCAACTATGAATAAACACTGTAACCAATTACTATCTTATTACGGAATGAGTTTAGTTGTGGTGGTCTCTTTAATGATTAATCTAATTTGGACGTCCTCAGATGATCAGTGTATGATCAATCTATGCAACGTCGGTTAATAATGCTGATTGTGTTAGACTCGACTTGTTATTACGTCCTATGTATATTGTATATGAGAGTGTGGTCAATCATACTGATCACGTAATCTACTTCACGGTGTGTGCCTTGTTTCAAAACAATCACTATCACAGATCAATTCATCGTTACACAATATTGTGGATAGGTACACTTCAATATTGATCGAATCTATTTGCTGTCTATTCAATATTGATTATGGTTGGATATGATATTTAGGTGGAGAAGATCAAACATCACTGGAG